CAACCTAAACACTATGGAACTAATTGTGATACTATTTAAGAAATAATGACAAGAAAGCCAGGCGTGGTGGCACATGGCTGTAATCCCAGCACTCAGGGGACTCAGGCAAGAGGATCATTACAAGTTCAAGGCCAGCCTGGGCTACAAAGTGAGCTTAAGGTCAGCCTCAACTGCATAGGAAGACCCCATCTCAAGGACAAAACAAAACAAAGACAAGAAAAAGTATAAACATGTTTAGTATAACTTTTTCTTTTAAAGACAGGTCTGGCTTCTGTTGTTCAGGTTGTCCCCAAACTGGGCTGAAGCAATTCTCCTCTGTCACCCTCCCAAGTAGCTGGCTTTTTCTGAGTATTTGTGATGCTCAGTTGAACGCACAGAGGCATAATCAATGACACAAAAGGACCAAGTGTACATTTTTCTGGGGAAACAGAACTAACTAGAACCTAACTTTTGTCAGATATCCTACAGGTTCAAGGGCCCCTAGAAATTAGGAATCCCTGAAGGAGGCTGCTCTTCCAGGGGGGCCTTTATAATCACCCTAACCCGGCAGAGTGACAGCGGCAGGGTGGGAGGAGCACCTGCCCAACTGCAGGGCACCCCATCCCTATGTGTGCTGACTTGGAACACAGAGCCTGAGGGAAAAACCCAGTTCTTGTTCCCCACTCATCACAGGGAGGTTGGAGGAGACTCCATCATCTCTGGGCGGGGGCTTGGGTCTCCTGGGAATTGTGAGCAAGGCTCAGTTAACGTTGGGAATGGTCTGAAACAGCGACGGGAACCATCAGTGACTGCTCCTTGGCCCCTAGCAGACCCACAGGCTCCCAAAGAGACGAGAATGTGGCCTGACAGATGCGATCAGGGCGAAAGGGGAGGTAGGAAGAGCCCCAGGGAGCTGGTGCCTGCGCATGCGAGTAGCGGTTCAGGTATGACCTGGAGCAAAGTAGGAATCAGGTTTTGACTTGATTTCCCTGCTGGTGACTGCTTGCTCCACAATCACCTCACTACGGCTGTAAAGAACCCTAAGACAATGCGCCCACCCCGGTCCATTCTCTCTTCAGTCAGCTTTAACTATCGGAAAGTGTTCTCTTTTTCTGCTGTCTGCCTGCCTCTCCCACTCGGTCTGTCTCTAATTTTGTACTGGAGATTGAACTCAGAGCCTTCAAATCAAGTTACATCTTCAGGGTTTTAACTTTTTTTCTATTTTCAGAAAGGGTCTTGTTAAACCATTAGGCTGCCAAGGCTTAGTTCAAACTTGTAGCTTTTTTGTTTTTATTTTTAAACAGGGTCTTGTTATGTGCTCCACCATGCTTGCTTGAGTTCAAATTTGAGATCCTTCTGCTTCAGCCTCCCAGAGGCTGGGATCAGTCGTGTGAGCCACCACACCCAGTAAATCTGGAAGTTCTTCAAAATGAGTCAAAAGTTCACCTTCCTATAACTTCCATTCTTTGTTTCTAAATCCCTTTGAATACCTCAAGGTTGGTTCTACCAGGCAATCTTTTACACTTTGAAATAGTTGAAAATGACTCTCATTTCTCTTGGACAAAAACATCAACTGTTTTTCTAGCATCATAACTCTTTCAGAAACCAAAAGGTCAGTTTTGGCGTCGTAGAAGCATTGTGAAGTCCCTATATAATTTCTTTCCCACTCACATTAGTGTGCGGGAAGCAGCAGTCTCTAATCTCAATTCCTTATTATAGCCAGATCTCCTAGAGCGAGGAGAAAACCCAAAGAGGAAAATGCTGAGGCAAACAGAAGCCAAGTGAACGGGGAAAGGTGATTCGGGGAGTCGGTGTAGGCATGGAAGCAAGCCCAGGGGTCCTAATTCTTCATTTCTTTCAGGAAGGCACTGCGTTGTGATTATACCCAGGACCAGCCCTGTACACAGCAGGAATGCCAGGCCTGTAGCCCTGGAGGATCGGGGAGCCCTGGAGTTTCCTGGACACTGGAATTCCAACTGCAGCCCATCTGGGGTGGTTTTTCTTGGGAGGCTTCCTCAGAGAAAGGCAACTTGGCTTGTTTATTCAGATGTGCCAGCTGAAGCGATACATTTAATATCAAAAAGGAGAATACACAGGCTTTTTATTCTAAGAAAATCTCCCTGAACATCACAGCAACTCTTGACCCTGGCAGTAGAGTCTGGTATTCTTGGTTCTGTTCCTGCTCTGTGTCGCAACCTTCCCTTCCTTAGATACAATGCTCGTCTGGAGGAGGTGGGAAACAACCCTCCAGGGTACCTGAGGTCCCTGCCCAGGAGCACGGCTTTACTAATGTTCTACAAGGAGACAGGAGGTGACACTTAGGCTGAGTGGCAGCAACTTGTTTTTTTCTTGGCCTTATTCCAGACATCTTCCAAATCTAAGTGCCTAGAAGTTGAGCTATCTCAGCTTGCAGGCAAGAGTCCAGGTGTGGTGCTAATGCCAAGTCTAACCAGGGGCCCTCCGATCCTAGAGACAGGGCCAGGCAGACAGAAGCCCAGTGGCACATGGTGGCTGAGAAGAGTATCATGCTCCAAACCTCAGCGTCCGCCTGCAGATCCTGCCCTGCCAGATAAAGAGGCAGGAGATGCTGGGTAGAGGAAGAGGCAGAGGTCACCTGCAGAGCGCGGCAGGAGAGGAAGCCAGTGCCCAACTGTACAAGGAGCCTCTCCAACCTTCCTTCTGCTCTGGGCCAGGGCAGTCACATCTGTTTCCTGCTGGGAAGCTGAGCTGGGTCAGGGTCTGGGAGGTCCATATCACCAGACTGGATAACAACACAGGCCAGCTTGGCAGTGTCCCGGCTGGCGGGCCACATTCCTTTGTGGACCTATCCGAGCAGCATTTCTAATCTGAATCTGGTTAACCCACAGTTCTTAGAAACCCCATCTCTGGGACTGGGGCCGGGGCCTTGGTCAACCTTAGGTCCTGTCCCAAGCCTTGCTGGGCCCCAGGAGCCCAGTCCTGCCTGGCTCAGAAATGCAGGCCGCAGCCATTACTGCAGCCTGGGCTCACACCCTGGGAGCACATCTTCCCCTTTTTGAGAGATTTTTAACTCCTTCTCCACCACTCAGCAGCACAGAAAGGCTTACCAACACTGCCCCGCTCCTCCAGTCTTGATCCCACATGGCTCCGGGAGCCACTTTCCCTGTCCCCAGGGGGGCAGTGTCCCTCCGCGGCATCCTTTCTGGCCTTGAGTACCTCCTCTGGCAACTTCTAGGCCAGGCAGACTCCAAACTCTCCTAAGGGTGCCACCCTCCCCGGACTCCCAGGGACACAGCCGGTCCAGAAGCGGTTCGGTCCAGGGCCTCAACTGACTCCTCTGGCCCTGGAGACACCTCTGCCCTCCACCCCTAGGGGCCGGAGCTTCCGCGTCCTGAGAGGCGGCATTCGGCCCTCAGGGTGGGTCTGCCCCCCCCCTCCCCCGTCTCCCCGGCAGTCGGTCCCGTGACGTCCCCGCGTGGGGCTGGCAGGCCCGGACACTTTCGCCCCGTCATGCCCCCGGGCGCGGGCGCCTGTGTCAGCCCGCAGCAGTCCCGCAGCCCCGTCTCTCCTCCCTTCCCTGCCCCACGGCAGGGCCCTTCCGGCCCAGGCGACGGAGCGGGTCGCGCCACCGTGGGCCCCCACGGGCCGTGCTAGGCCCCCAGCGCCCCGGCCGGCTCCTCCCCCGCCGCGCCCAGCCGTGCCGGGCCACGCCAGGCGGCGACCCCGGCTCCCAGGGCGCGGCGTGGGCAGGCCAGCCGGCCCCTCGGTGCACTCGCATACCGCGATCACGTTGACGAAGGTGGTCTTGCCCGAGTACTGCAGCCCGACCAGCGTGAGCTCCATCTCCTCCTTCCAGAACAGGGCCTTGAACCAGTCCAGCAGCTTGTTGAACAAAGCGATCATGGTCGCTGCCGCCGGCTCCGCCAGGCGCCGGGTGCCCGCCGTCCCTCGCTGCCCTCGCGCTGCGGCCCGGAGCGGCCCCTCCCCGTGCGGCCCGGGTCCCGCGGCTCGGTGCGGGAGGAGGCTCGAGCGCGGCGGCCGACGACTCGCCGTCCCCGGATCCGCTCGCCGATGGGTGTGGCTTCAGCGCCCTCCTCCTCCTCCCCCTCCGTCGCCGCCGCCACCGCCCTCCCGCGGGCCGGGCCGCGTCCTGCGCGCTCCCGAGCGCGCGCTCCCTGGCCGGCGGGCGGGGTGGGCGGGGCCCGCGAGCGCAGAGGTGCGGGCGGGGAGCGCAGGGGTGTGTGCGGGCGGGCGGCGGCGCGCGGCCCGGGGCGAGGGAGCGGACGGTGTTTTCTGTCTCCGGGCCGCCGCGCCCGAGTGCCACCCTTGCCTTCTCAAGGGTGGTGGTCGGGGAAGTCCCGGTTCACCGAGAGCGTTTCCACGATGAAGAAGGGTGGCCCACCCACTTTCCAGGACGCAAAGATGCGGTGTCTGGGAAAAGGAGGCGTTGGAGGCTTTTTGTTTGCCGAACCTTCCCGCTCGGCATCCCTGGGTACTGAGGCCCACCCTCCAGAAAGGACGAGTGGAGACTAACAGTCGCGTTAGGGTCTTGGAATTCTCCATCTTGATTTGTTAACCACAGTTTATTTACTTGTTTGGGCCTCTGGTCCAATGAAACAGCCTTTTGAACTTGATACTGGGTTTTGTTAGTGTCACCCTGATCCTGAAACAGACAATCCTAGCAAGGGTGTTCCAGTGTGGAACTTCCGAGGCAAAGGCAAATATGAGCTGTTTTGATACAAACAAACACCGCCCTCCCTCAAAGACAAAAGTTTTCTTCAGGAGCAGAACTGATAGTGGGTGGTGTGGGGGCTGCCAAGATGTTCCTGGTCCCCTTCCTGCTCTGTCCCACAGCTGTTCGATCCAGAGGGCTGTACCCTGCTTACCCAAGGCTTGGGGGCGGTCCCCGGTTTATGGTGGGTGTCCCCTGGGAATCTACTTTCTTTAGTTAAAGGTGACTAAACTATCAATAGCACCCATATCTGTCAAGCCTTCTTAAGTGTTAGATGACCACAAATCGTCAAAAAGTGGAGGAATCACAATTTTGCACTAGAATAATATTCTGGTTTATTAAACAGTCTGTCTAGTTTTATGCCCTTTGTAAGTTCTTCCCTAGCTTCTAAGGCATGCATGCTGTGTCCGAGTGTCTGAATATTTGTCTTTCCAAAATTTAAGTGTTGAAATTTTCATCTCCAAAGTGATAGTATTAGGAGGTGGGGCCTTTGGAAGGTGACTAGGTAGAGAGGGTGGAGCCCTATTGATTAAGATTAATGTCCTTATAAAAGCGAGGAGACAGAAGGGAAGAGAGAGTCCAGAGTTCAGAACCTCGCCTGTGAGCCAGTCTCCAACTGAGCAGACATTGACTCTGTATCCGTAGGTACCTTGATCTTTGAGTTTCCTCCAGTCTTCAGCATTGTGAGAAACAAATCTGCATTGCTTGTAAGTCACTCAGTTTGGGCTGTTTTGTTACAGCAGCCTGGACAGGCTAGGCTAGCACACCTCTGTCTCACTCGCTGAACTGACTCCAGTTTCATTTTGCTTTATATCCTCAAAACTGCTAGAAAGCAGCATATCCCCAGGGGAAAGACTGCAGCCTGCTCCTGGATAGTGGATCTTCCTTTCTGCAGAGATCCAGAGGGCTGAGAAGAAGGAAAGAAGGAATGAGCCAGTCATCCAGGAAGTCTTTATTTTTTCCACTTGGTTACTTTTCCAGAGTTTGTATCCTCTGAGCTCTGCAACAGTGGTGACATTGCTGGGTGGCATGCCCCTCAGGTGATATAGTTGCCTCCCTGCTGACTGGGTGTGATCAGGCAAGATCAGGCACTTGAGCACCTCCACCTAGCGCAGGAGCACAGACAGTAGTGCCTGTCACAGACTTAGGCAGACAAAGGTTCAGGGAAGCCATCCCAGGACCATAGGATGGAAGTTCCTCAGTAAGGCCAAGAAGAAGCATCCAGAGAATTAACCTCAGTGGCAGCACCAAGTATCCTTCAGAAGAGATTCAGGAAGAGAGAGCCCGGTCACTCTCCAAGACCAGAGTTCCACAGAGTGGCAATCCAGGGCAAGGCAGATGTTTGGCTGAGGGCCAGGAGGACTGGTGCTTTACCTGTATTCCCAGAAGCATCCCCTCTGGGACTGAGGAGGACTGAGGGCTTGGGTGGTTTCCTGTGGGGTGTAGTTAGCCCTGAGATAGATCTGAGATCCCCTGGGAGTGAGGGGAGATGACGAGGGGAGTTAGGATTATATGGCAGGGGTGGATTTTCTCAAACTCTGTCTCCTCTTCTTTATCTTTGGCACTGCCTGGAGACTGGGAGGTATCTTCTTAAGTCATGAAAGCTAAGTGGAGCATGCTCCTCTCCCTTCCCAGGGGCAACTGTCCTGGCCTCTGAATAATTCCCATGTGTTCCCTCTCTTAGAGATTTCTATGGCCAGGCCTGTTCCCTCCCATCTCCTCTCCTGACACAACTGTGGAAGCAAGGCCAGTCTGGGTCTTGGTTCTTTTTTGGGGGGTCATCCGGCAATCACAGATGTATGGGGCAGAGTTGCTATGATGTTAAGAATCTGACGGGTCAGGACCAGCCTTTTCCCCACTCTTGCATCTAGCCTATGTTTGGGTAGGACCTGATGGAGAATGAGCTTGAGGCCACTCCCCTGCCAGCCAAGGAGGAGAGGACAGAGCTGGGATGACTTTTAGGAGCTTTTCCTTGTGGCAGCAAAACACTTGTGTCCATGTTGTAGATGAGGAAATTGGAGGTCACAATGAGATCAGAGCACCTGGGCTTCTTTCTCAGCCTGTGCCAAGTGCCAGCTGCTGTCTTTGAGTTCAGGCATAGGAGGCTCCCTGTGCTGTCCCTCTGGGGCCGCAAGAGGAAGCAGAGGTGTGGGCAGTGGGGAGATCAGGAGCCTGGCTCCTGCCCCAGCATCCTGGGCCTGTAATTGCTGTCCATGAAGCTCCCCTTCTCCATGCCTATGGGGGCTGGGACACCCAGGTCACGCAGCCCACTTGCCCAGACTCACTTCCCCAGGCCTGAAAGGAGGCTGGCAGCCAGGCTCGGGGAGGGCTCAGCAGTCAGGCACGGGGCTCCTGAGGCAGCTGGGCTGCATACAGGGCCAAGGTGTGGTGCAGGAACTGGTACTGCTCTGAGGTCTGGATCATCCCTCCTCTGCAAGGGAAAACAGGAGGGGAAGGAGGTCAGGTACTTGCTGAACAGCTCGGGTCAAGCATCCTTGTGGGCCTTCTGAAAAGTCTTGACTTTCTTCTTCCCAGATATTCATCCTTGCCACTCCCTTTTCCTTCTTGCTATACCTCAGGCTTCCCAACATGGGAAGTCCCCTGCCCTAACTTAGACACCCGTGTGTGGTCTTCCTGATCCCCTCAGTCCCTGAGCAAAACCCGTGCTGATTCCTCTGGGTTTCTTCTAATTTTCTTCTTTTCTATAATCCTAAAAGTAAAAATAATTCCATACATTTGTGCATAGTACTAATTCTCATTTTCTAAAACAGTTTTACAGAAGTTAATCTGTTCTTTCCAGGAGCTATCTTGGGGAAGGAGGAGCCAGTCTCTCTAGATTAAAAGGTGGTAGGGGAATGTAGATGGCATGGCACATGCTTGTAATACCACCTGCTTAGGAGACTGAGGTAGGAGGAATGTAAGTTAGAGGTTAGCCTAGGCAATTTAGCAAGATCTTGTTTCCAAATTAAAAATGACAAACAACAAACGAGGGCTGGGAATGTAGCTTAGTTCAATCCCCAGTTCTGTGGAAAAGAAGGAAATGGAGGCTAAAGAGATAGTGACAGCTCTGTGAAAGACAGTCACCATCTGAAGCCTTGCACAGTGAGCATCTGTGTATGTTCTGTGCCTGCCCAATGTCTAGCATCAGCTACATTGTTTCCTAGCTTTCCTCTGAGTAGGAAATATAAGAGAAAAGAAAAAAAAAAAAAAAAAAAAGAAGGGGGGGGGGAGAAAAAATATTGAAAACTCAAAGATAAATTCATAGAGTGTAATATTTAATTTCAGTCCTCTAATCTAAAATTCCAGATAGAAATTCTTTCTACTTATTGGTTGCAAAATAACCCAGGTGTGGTGGTGCAGCCAGTAATCCCAGAAGTCTGGGAAGCTGAGGTAAGAGGATTGCATGTTTGAGCCCAGCCAGGCATCTTAAAAAGACCCTGTCTCAAAAACAAAAACAAAAACAAACAAACAAACAAAAAAAGCAAGCATGAGATTGTGAGTTTGATCCCCGTACCAAATAAATAAGTAAATAAATAAAAATTTTTTAAAAAGACTTGAGAATGTAGTTCACTGTGAAGGCCCTGGGTTGAATCCCTAGTACGCAGAAACACAGAAAAAGATGCACACACACACACACACACACACACACACACAGATGAGAAAAGTGAGAGAAACAGTTCTCTACAGAAAAGAGTCCTTCCTTTCTGGAAGATGCTGATGTGCCTTGCAGCCCAGAGGCACCAAAGCCACTTATGAATGCAGATGGCCCTGTGGATCGTGGACCCACCTGTCTAACCGCAGTTGGCACACGATGCCCAGGATGTCCACTTCCCCTTGGGCCTTCAACTGCTGGCAGCCAATCCGGGTGGCGATGAAACATCCGGTCCGGCCAATCCCTGCACTGGAAACAGCCAGGGAGAAGATGGGGAGGCCTTGGAGACCAGGGGATAAGGAGGCAGGTGAGGAGGGCCTGGGAGAGTGGGTGCCAAACTATGGAGAGAGAAGCGGTGCTGTGTCTGGAGAGGGACTCAGGATGGAGCAAGACCAGATGCAGCAGCCCTGGGCCTGTGGGGGCACATGGCAGCTGGCCCTGGAGAGGCTGCGCTCCAGCCAGGCTTGCTCCAGGCCTAGGGCAGGTCACCTTCCGGTTCTGTGGACATGCTGATGAGCTCTCTTCTGCTTAACAGTCTCCAACAGTTTCCAGTGACAGTGCCCTGCTTGTGGGCTGGCTGGCTACTTCAGCTCTCTTTATCTAACTGTGGCTTCCTCCCAGCTCTGGCCCCACGGCCACAGCTGGGCCCTCTGCTCCCTGCCTCCATCTCTTCTCTCTGCTCCTGTCTTACCCTTTCTTTATTTCAAAGCCCTCTCTGACCTCTTCCTCCTCCTTAGAAAGTCAGCCTTCCTGAGCCTCTGATAGGAACTACGATGAATCCAGGTGCCCTTCCATCTGTGCTTTTTGAATCCATGTTCTGTTTTATTTGGGAAGTCGACTCCCATGTGTTTCCTTGTTTCAAATCTTTCTCCACCTCACCTTACCCCAATCTATCCTAATTTGCTTTCACTTTGTAATCAACACATCCCCCCTTGCCCAGATCACAGTGCTGGAGATCAAACACAGAGCTCTGAGTACCCAGGCAAGGGCTCTGCCACTGAGCCACTCCCCCAGCTCCAAAGCATTCTTTTAAAATAGCAAATCCATGCCAGGCATGGTGGTACATGCCTGTAATTTCCACACTCAGGAGGCTGAGGCATGAGGATCAGTAGGAGTCCTAGGCCAGCTTGGGCTACAGGGTAAGACCCTGTTTCAAAAAACCCAAACCAAACCAAACGAAACAGTGGCAGAGCCAGGGCCTCTGATTCTATTCTCAGCACTGAAGAAAAGCATAAAGTAAAAAAATAAAGGAAGTTGTGATGGTGCATGCCTATAATTCCAGCTACCCAGGAGGCAGAGGTAAGAGGATCATAAATTCAAGGTCAGCTAGACACTTTGAGTCGCTACCTTAAAATTAAAATAAATAAATAATGTATTGCACAGTTCCTGGGTTCAATTCCTGATACCACCAAAAACAGACAAACAAACAAACAGAAAAGTTGGGCATGGAGGCACACATCTGTCTGAGATAGGAAGATTGCAATTTTGAGGCCAGCCTGCACGACATAGCAAAATTCCCCAAATAAAAAAATGTTTAAAAGACTGGGAATGTAGCTCAAGAAAGAAAGAAAGAAAGAAGGAAGGAAAGAAAGAAAGAGAGAGAGAGAAAGGAAGGCAGAAAAGAAGCGGATGGGTGGGACAATACAAATGTTTTAGCCATTCCTAAAAGACCCCTCTCCACGTGGACTTCACTTGCCTTGTAGACTCATCATCTTCCCCAGTGACCCCTGGCCTACCCTCCAGCTCTTCCCCCAGTAACATAGCAACGTTTCAGTTCCTTCTCTGGGCCTTTGCATATGTTGTTCCATCATCCTGCAATGCTTCCCCTTGACCCTTGCCCCTCTTTACTTATCTAATTCTACTTCAAGTCTTAGAGTAGCTTGCCATCATTTCTCTTAGAATCCCTGCTCTGGCCGAGGTCTGGGTCAGGCAACTTGGTTCTGTGTACCTCCCCTACCCTATCCTAGCTGTCCCTGCATTTGTGTCCTAGTTTAACCTGCTGCCATCCTCAGCAGGCTGTAACTGTCAGGGATAAAAGCAGATGGTTTTGTTCACTGCTGTGTCTTTAGCATCTAACATCGTGCCTGGCAATAACAGGTTTTCAAGAAATATTTGTGGAATGAATAAATAAGATCCCCACCAGCAGGGGTCATGTTGATCTCCTCCTCCAGCTGACCAGGAGCACCTTGCTATTCCATCTCCCACCTGGATGGTGCCAGGGTGATAGTCAGATGCTGGGTTCTGCACAGAGGAGCTCATAAGGGTGGAGCACTCTTTGAAGGACCAGAACTAAGCCCATCTGCTCAGAGCCTTTCCAGGAGAGACCCAGGAGCAGGGGAGGAGGTAGAGGAGCCCATACCTACAGTGGACCACGATGGGCCCAGTGTTAGCGGCTGTCTCCGGGCTTTCGTCCACTTCAGCCACCAGTCGCAGCAGGGGCCCAGCCGACTCCGGGGTCTGGTGGTCAGGCCAGGCCGAGAAGAGGATGTGCTTTACTGAGCGGCATTCTTCCTGGTGCTACAGGGGGGACACAGCATGAGACCCAGGGTCAGGGTTGGGACATGGCCCGCCTCATCTGGGTCACCCCACAGTTGTCCCCACTCCCCAGCTGGCAGGAATGTTGTCTTGGGAGAAAGGCCTGAGTTCAAATCTTATCTCTGCTGCTAGCTTTGGGCAAACCCCTGAGGCTCACTTTCTTTATCTAGAAAATGGGGGTGTTGAGATGATATTGTTTTACTTCCCAAGATACTTGGAAAATAATGAACAGAGAAATGGTTTGAAAAATGTAAAACGCCATGCAATAATAGAAAGCATTTTTAGGTTTTTTCTGAGACAGGGTCTTGCTATGCAATTCTGGCTGGACTTGGACTCACTATGTAGCCCAGGCTGGCCTCAGACTTGCAGCAATCCTTCTGCTTCAGCTTCCCAAGTGCCGGGAGAGTAGGAAGCATTTTTAGCGCTCCTTCCCATGTCTTACCGTGCTGTTCTTTCCTAGATCACTCCTCTCAGCATTCGGCAAAGGTGGGAGGTGCCTTTTTTTCGTTTTGTTCTGTTTTGGTACTGGAAATTGAACTCAGGACCTGGCACTTGCCAGGCAGGCACTTCAATACTGAGCATTATGGAGTGGGAGAGGGCTTCTAATGTTTGCTACTTGTTTTTTTTTTTTTCCTCTGCCCTGTTTAACTAGAAGTTCCCTGAAGGCAATATCCACAATTCTTTCTTCTGTGGCTCAAGTTCCTCTTTTAGTGCTCAAGACTTAGGTAAGTAAATTTGGCCCCTAGAGGAGCCAATTTCCAGAGATGGGGAAGGTGTGTCAGCCACCAGCTGGCCCAGGAAGTCGTACCTGGATGGTGAGCTGCCGCACAGTGTATTCTGGGCGCTCTTTCGTGTCCTGGACACGGATCCGGAAGGGTCCATAAGTTTCCTCTTCTGTGGGCCAGTAGTGGACACATTTCTAGGAGGGAGAGAGCTGGGAGTCAGAAGATGGAGGCCCATCACTGTGAGAGGAGCAGTAGAGAGGGGCTGGCTTCCCCTCCACATATCCGCAGCTCTGTCAGTGTTCACCAAGGTCCATGGCTCTGTCTCCTACCTCCTTGCCCTCTCGGAGCTGCGTGAGCATGACAATGAGGCACACATCTTCCTGCCACACCATCTCCCAGAAGTCCGACATGGTGTTGGGCATGGGGCCCTGGGTTGCAATGTAGACCTTCTCCTGCCCATCATAGCCCTGGGGACGAAAGCACAGGCGAAGCTGAGGAAGCAGTGAGATTGGAGCTCCAGGGAGACCCTCGGCTTAGGATCAGGGATCAGGCTGAAGTCAGTGAGCACTGCAGATAGACGCACACATGCACAAACACACTCTGGAGGCATATGGTGGAGAGGACTGGGACTCTGGAGTGAGGAACATCTGAATTCAGATTTTGGTTCTGCTGTCTCCTAGCCTCTGTAAGTCTGTTTTCTCATCTGTAAATTGGGGGTAACAATATCTATTTTGCAGGAATATAGTGTGGATTAAATAAAATAAAATATATTGAGAGTCTAGTATACAAAGTGTAATCCAAAGATATAGTGTGTGTGTTAATTACTTTTTTCTCATTACTGAGACAAAATACTTGACACCCAAAGTTAAAGGGAGAAAAGTTTATTTAGCTCACGGTTTGTAGAAGTTTTAGTCCTTAATCAGCTGGCTCTAAGGCAGGGTGGCATGGCAGACAGGCATTGCAGAGGAGAAACAGTTCACGGTGGGCAGAAGGCAGCAAAACAAGGAAGCAAAAGCAAAGGCGATCCTCTTTCTGTGCTTTATATTGTATGCAGACTACTGGGATTAAGATGGTGCCAAACCAATCAGTGGACTGATGTGGCTGTCATTCACCTTAATCCCAGCACCGTGAATCCTACCATTGTACCATGAATCAGTTACACACTCTACATTCATCCACCTCTGAAAAAGCCCCACCCTATGAGTGTATGAGGCTCTGGGGGGACATCTAGACATAAGCCATTTAGTGTGTATTTAAATACAGAAAAGATTACATTCAAGATACATTTCCATTAATCCTCTGCAAAATATTCCCTTCATTTTGGACACACTTATCCATTATTCTTGCCACTTTCTGAAGCAATTCTGGAAGCTTTCTTTTATGAATGTCTAGTTGCACTGTCTTGGATGCCTCAATGTCCTGAACTGATTTAAAGAATTTACCTTTCATGGTCATTCTGACTTGGAGCAGAGCCAGAGGTTGCATAGTGCCAGATCTGGAGAATCAGATAAATGAGGATATACAGTAATGATAAGCCTGCCTTTCTGCTGGGCACACTCATTAAGGAGGATATCCAGAAACACTTCACAAAGTAGCAAGAGCAATGGGATTAATTTGCTTAAAGCAAGGGTATGTTGAGGGGCAATGTGTCTTTTACTGTAAGAAATTTTTTTGGAAAGTAAACATTCACTCTTTCTTCTGAAATTAGTATATGTTTTTCATACATAATAAATACTGGGGCTGGGGATTTAGCTCAGCGGCATAAGCACCTGCCTTGCAAGCAGGCGGTCGTGAGTTCGATCCCTGGTACTGATAAAAAGATATTAAAAAAAAGTTAAAAAAAACATAATAAATACTGGTACATGTATATATCCCTTGCTTTTTTTTCTTTTGTTGAGACAGGGTCTTACTATGTAGCTCTGGCTGGCCTTGAACTCCCAGTGATCCTCTTGCCTCAGCCTCCAAAGTGCTAGGATTACAGGTGTGCAGCGCCATGGCTGGTCATATCAAATTTTTAATCCTTTTTTGCTTTTCCTTCTCCTTTCCCTCCGCTTAGCCTCTGTCTCTAGATCCCCTTCCCATATGAAAAAGGACTACTTCCTTGTTTCCTATCATTGATTTTTAATATTTTGCTCTTTCAATACTTATATTTCTCAGATAAGAGAAACATACAATATTTAACTTTCTTAACATTTTGTGTCCAATTTATTTTACTTAGATTTATGATCCCTTGGTTGCATCCATTTTCCTACAAATTTATCCTTTTTTTCCTTTTTTGAGACTGCGTCTCATTATGTAATTCAGGCTGACCTTGATAGCCTGAATTACACTATGTAGTAATCACTATGTAGCCCAGGTTGATCTCAGACTCACAGTGATCTTTCCGTGTCTACCTCTCAAATGCCGGGATTGCAGGCAGGCACCACTGCTCCTGTCCCACTTATAAATTTTTGATGTTATTTCTAAAGCAATTGGGATTCTGCTTAGAAAATCCTTGCCTATGCCTATGTTTTCAAGAGCTTTATCTGTTTTAGCTCCTGTTAGATTAAGTTTTTCTGTTTTAATATGTAGGTCTCTGGTTCATTTTGATTTTATTTTAGTACACAATGAAAGACATGAGTCTAGATTGAATCTTTTGCAGGTGGATAGCTATTTTACTATCTACCACCATTTATTTAAAAGGCTATCATTTCTCCAGTAGTTTTTTGGCCCCTTTGTCAAAGATCAAATGGTCAAGTGTGCCTGGAGACGTTTTTGCACCCTAAGTCCACTGGTCCCCACGTCTAGCTTTGTGCCAGGACTATGTGTTTTTATCGCTGAAGCTATGTCCTGTAACCTGAAATTCAGGTTGTGATGCCTCCTGCTTTACTTTTGTTGGCCTGGATCGCTCTCACTATTCTGGGTCTCTTCCGGTTCCAGCTGAATTTTAGGGTTGTGTTTTCTAGTTCTGTGATGAATGCTGTTGGTACTGTGACTGGCACGCACTATATCTGTATATCAGCTTGGCAATGTGGCCATGTTGATGGTACTGGGTCTGCCTATCTAGGAACGGGATGTTTTCTTACATCTTTGATCTCCTTTTCCAGAGTACTATAGTGGGTTTTTTGTTTTTTTTTTTTTAATCATAGAGACCTCTCATTTCCTTGGCTAGGTTAACACTCAGGTATTTAATTCTTTTGAAGCTATCATGAATATTATTGCTTTCTTTCTTTCTCAGTGGGTTTATTTTTGATGTACAGGAGTACTGTTGGTTTTTGTCAATCTACCATATTTTTTAATCTCCCTTTGTCCATAAATGTTTGTTTCCTTTGTCCTCTGCTACTTTCTATTATAAAACAATGTTCAATATTTGTGAATAAATCTTTCAACTTTCTGTATTACATATTTAGCAACAAAATGTAGCATGATCTTCCTATCTTGTCTCTGTTCCCTTCCGGGTCCTCAGCTTTCTGCTCTTCAAAATGATGCTGAAATCCGTCAGCTGTTGGCCTGCTTTGGGCTGGTGAGCTCAGGTTACCGGTTCCCCACTGCTGGTAGCTTTTCTCCTCTCAGCACCCAGACTGCGGCCCTACCTCTCTGGCCACCAGAGGGCACCGCTTTACAGCTACTTAGGGCCCATAGAGGCGAGGAGGCTGGAGAACCTGTTGTGCCTTCAGGCTCCTATTAGCTGGACAGTAATCTAACCATTTCCATAAAGGAAGGGCTGCTTGTGAGAAAATAAGGGGAGAAAGAGGGAGAGGGAGAGGGGTGCTCAGTGGTGTTGGCCTCTTTCATGCAGATCTCAGGAGTAATTAGTCCATAAGGAGCTAGTGGTTAGATTTTTTTTAAAATGATAATGTCTCACTGTGTAGTACAGACTGATCTTGCACTCAAGGTAATCCTCCTGCTTCAGCTCCTGAGTACTAGGATTACAGGTGTACCCACCACGACGAACCTTAGATTTGAACCATGCTAACTTCCTGCTAAGTTTAGAGGGTTGGATCAAAAAGGTTAAGGAAATTTGGCAAACTCACTCTCTCTCTCTCTCTCTCTCTCTCTCTCTCTCTCTCCCCAGAAATATTTAATATCTGCTGTGTAATATCTGCTGTGTTTTCTGGGATGGTGTCTTGGGGTCTGCTCAGTGTCTATTCTGGCTTCTCAGGGCTATAGGAACAGTGAGTTGGGGGCAGAGGCAGAATCCTTGGCATCTGACCCATCAGCCTGACGTCTTCAAAGCCAGCACTCCCATCACCCACTGCTCCTGAAGCCAGGCTACTCACTCGGATATAGTTGGCATTGATGTAGTCACCATCTTCCTGGCTCTGTGCCCGACCAAGACAGACGCGGCTCTGGGGATCTAGGAACCAAACAGCAGCTGAGGTCAGAAGTCAAAAGGTGACCAACAGGGGCAGAGGGAAGAGCACTGTTACAGTCCTGTGCAGTCCGGTGTCTCCTCCTCCTCCAACCTGTCACTGCTATCTCATGGTCTCACTGTCTTAAGTGTGCATCTTAGTACTTTGTGTAGAGTGCATAGCCTGATTGGTGCTTACTGACATTACTATTATTATTATTAATTATTGTAGTGGGGATTGAGCCACCCGGGGAGCACTAAACTGCATTTCCACTCTTTTTTATTTGTTATTTTTTGCAGCGCTAGTAATTGAACCCGGGACTCTGTGCATTGTATCCAAGTGTTGTACTTTTGAGCTACATCCCCAGTGTGGAGGACCACCTGGACTGCTTTCCTTAAATAAAGAACAATTATTTCCAATTTGGCTAAACCTGGCCCTATCCCCATGTACTGATATGTACAGAGCTAGCTAAGTTATTTCCTTCAATTGGCTTTTTTTTTTTTTCAGGTACCAGGGATCAAATTCATGACAGGCTCTTATGCCTGCTGAGCTAAATCCCAGCCCAACTGACTTTAAGCAATGTAAATAAGGCTAGCTGAGGTGCTGAAGAGCTCTAAACAGTCAACTGGGATGAGCCTCCAGATAAGTGGCTTTGACTTTCCAGGGCAGAAAAGTTTAGATATCAGCACTGAAGCACCAACCCCAGGCCCCAAAACACTAGGTGCTACTTCAATTGTGTTATGTAGATTGGTCTTTCAGCACATCCTTCTCTGCGTATTGCAGAGGGGCTTTTAGGCCTCCTACCCAGCCCAGCTCACAGCACTCATGTATTTCCTGTCATTCTCGCAGTCACCCATCCTCAAACCACTCCCTTCTTCTCGAATCAATAAAATCCGAGTTGGGCCCTAGGTCAAGGCCTTTGTTCAGGTGAACCACCATCTGGCTGGGTTTAGGAGCCCCTTGGCTCCCCATAACTATGAATATGTCTTAGTGTCTCTATTCTCACCATGAGTTGCACTGGAGATGGTAGATTGGAATTAAATCACTAGAATTCCAATAACTTTTCCATAGAATTACAAATACAAACTTCCTGGACTGAGATGAGGTCTGGGAAGGGCTCTGTATGCCTCATCATTTTAAACACTTTTTTCTAAATTTCAAAACATGGTCTTGCTAAGTTGCCCAGGCTGGCACTGAATTTGTGGTCCTATTTCTACCTCTTAAGTACCTGGGATTGCAAGTGGTGCCAACATGCCTGGCCCCACTGAATTGTTTTATACATAAATAATAGGGAGTTGCAGAATGTTTTCAAGCATGAAGGTATTATGCTCAAAGCAGTGATTTGGCCAGGCATATGCCTGTAATCCCAGCTGCTTAGGAGGCTGAGACAGGAGAATCACAAACTTGAGGTCAGCCTGGCTAATTTAGCAGCACCCTATCTTACATAAGCTAAAAGGGGCTGGGGATGTAGTTCAGTGGCTGAGTGCTTGTGTAACATGAGGGCCTGGATTTAATCTCTGGTGCTGCAAACTGAACCCACCAACCAACCAAACGAATAGCCAACAGCTTGGGAAGGCCAAATGCTATGTAGGTTGCACTAGAGAGGAACGGGAAAAGAGAGGCTAAAGGGAAGTTATCCTAAATTCACCCTTGCAGCTCAGATGCAGATAGGACTGTACCAACAGAATGGAAAAAAAGAAGATGCTGCTTTTCTAATGGTGAATGGGGATTCAGATGAACGGCTGGCCCAAGGTCTCATAAAGGTGGACTGGGAGTAGGAGTCAGATTTATCAGCCCCAAGGTGTAGAGATGTCCCACCTTAAGGGGGATGGATTTCTCCAAATCAAACCTGCACAGGTTAAAGCAGTGAGGAAAAAAGAGATGAGAGGATTCTCCCTCTACTTGTGCCTGCCTGGTTTTGGATAGAGGGAGATAGGAGGAATCACAGGCAAAGGGACCTTCCCCTCTCTGGTGACCACAGAGCTAGTTAAACTTAGGCCATGCACAAGGGCTTCTCCCCAAGAGGACACATGCCACAGCCCCTTGAGCCATGCCATAGGCAGAGGTAGAGAGAAAGGCCAGCAGAGGGCAGGATGCGGAGTGGCTGACACAGGCTTGAGGCCTGAGTGTCACTAGAGGTGGGCTATTGAGGTGAGAAAGACGGGGAGGTGGAGAGGCTCTGAGGGCCTGCCTGGGAAAAATACAAGGCACACACCCTGATCTGTTAGCTTTTGGGACCAACCCAGTACAGCCTGGTGTCTCCTCCTCCCCGTCTCAGCTGCTTTATGGTCTCTGACTGCCTTTGGGGGTTTCTCAGAGCCCTTTCTTGGGGAGTCATCTCTGTGGAGATGCATCCCCACATAGAAGAGAGATGAGGAAGGCTTGGTGCAGCCAGCTCTGAGACCCTTGGCAAATTATGCCACTTTTCTGTGTCTCAGTTTCCTCACTGTAAACAGACACACAAATGCCATGGCGTCAATTTCATGGGGACACTGGGAGAAATGACTTTGTATAAAGGACGTAGGACCCACAATGAGCATCAGCCAATGCTGCCATTCGTGTCCCCGTGTCTCCCCCCACCCCTGGACATGGTGTGGGATTTCTCTGCTGACACAGGATGCTCTGAGCACCGTGGTCCTTCCTTGGCCCAGGCTGTGCATTTCCCTTCTGAAGTTCCCCCGCCTCAGGACGGGGCCCACCCACCTTGGTTCTTGTAATCCTTACTTGGTAAGATGGTCTTGTATCGGTCTTTGGAGGCATGGCCAGGGATATCCAAGTCTTCTGGGCTGACAAAGTTTGAGGGGATCTTCTGGCAGGGGGAGAAATAAGTGAACAACAGATACCTTCCCCCAGCCTCCTCTTACCCCTCCCACCCTTTTCTGGTAGAATCAGGCCCTAGCCATTCCTTCTTGGCCTTGACATGTAGGCCCAACAGGGTTGGAGAACAAAACTGGGAAGCATGGGGCAGCCATCTCACCTGAGTCCTGGGGTTCACTTCCTAAGAGTCCTAAAGAGTCGCCTGAGATAGAGGGCTGCCTATGTGGCAGAGGAGACCTCAAATTCTTACCAAGAATTCCTCCTCCAGCTGCTTGGGGCTGGGGGGCTGATGCCGCAGGGCCCAGCAGGTAAGGGGACGTCCAGCTGTGCGCAGAAAATGTAGGGTGACCTCACGGGGTGTGTTCACTGAACAGATGGGTTCCACGGTGCCCAGGGACCTCACATCCAGCATCAGAGCCACGTTGGAGCCCCGCCTGTAGGGACAGCCAACCAGAACCCCATGAGTTCCCACTGACATTTGCTTTTCTTACAGTTATCGTTACAGTGCACATCTGAGGAGCCACACCTTGACTTCTTTAACCTGGAGGTCCAGCCATCGAGGATTCAGGCTCTTTCTGCATGCCTTTCTCCCTTCTTGAGCCCCAGTGGAGCAGCCTTGAACCCCACTGCCCCTGCAAATACCCACCTCTTCCCACTCCCAACCTGACCCTCAGGCTCAGACCCATACCCAGCAGCAGGCAGCCCTCCAGCTTGTAGCAGTGCCTGTGCCAACCCAACCTGGCATTGAGGGAGCAAGCTCAGGGTTGACATAAACTGTGCCCTGGACATGCAAAAGACATGCAAACAACATGTATACGAGCGTTATTGGTTTCCTTTCCAGACTGGAGTCAATTACTGAGGCCCTGGGGTCAGTTGTCAGAGCTAGAGGGGCAGATGGAGGGAAGGGCTAGGGGTGGGAAGACCTCGTCCCCAGGAAAGATCTCACCTCTCCTGCAGCCGCACATGCTTCTTGGGTGGTGCTTTGGTGGGCGGAGGCTGGGTCATGGCTGCCCCCAGAGATAAAGCTGTCGACTGTTGTAAGGAGCACCCCCCAAAGGCCTGGACCATGCTGGGGTGGGTGCTGGCCCAGGGGCAGCTCACTCAGCCATGCTGTTTGCCTGGAAGAGAAGGTCCCACAGATGCTGGCATCTGGCCTGCCAGATGGGCCAGAAGGAGGCTTCCAAACCCAGGTCAATGGTCTGTTTTCATTGCAGGTGTCTTCTGCTCTCCCCAAAGTGGCCCATTTTCATTGAGAAGGACAAGATCTCTTTGGCAGTGGCCAGGGCAGTGGGCATTCTGGGGTTACAGCAAGGGCAAGGTGGAAGCATGGAGATTGTGGACAAAGATAGAAGGAAGCCAGAGGAGGAAGAGAGAAGGGAGACCAAGGTACACAGAGGTCTAAACTGGGGTCCAGGTGAAAAAAGGCAAGGGAAGGAATGGAAAGTGTCAACGGAAGTGTGGAGGAAGCACATAGAAACCGTCTCTCAGTCCGGCCTGCGGACCTTCTCCGAATGACAAATTGGGGGCCACTAGCAGTGTTGGAGCCAGTTGAGGACCCAGGCAGGTGGAACTCTCTCTTAATTGCTGGTAGCTGCATTCCCAAGTTCATTTCAAGCTTCTGGGGTCTCTCTCCGTCCAGGGAGATAGGCCGGGGGTGTTTCCTTCCTCCTCCTGCCCATCCCCCCATCTCCCGCCTCTGTAACCGTCACAGGAAATGGCCTCACCGAGCCCTTGAGCGACAGTGCATGGTGAGGCGACAGCTGGGGGCACGAGAGGGACCGTGGAGGTGATGAGGCCACCTCTTCTGGAGGGCAGCCCCCTTCTCCCTGAGCCGGGATCCCAGGTGCTGAGGTGATTGGGCTGGTAAGCCCACAGGGATGGAGGCGAGGGGACAGTGCAGGCTGGTGCAGGTGTGGGATTCGCAGAGGGGTTTCCACAGCAAGAGTGGGTCCTTTTGCTCCTGCTCTCCCTGTGGCTTCCCTACCCGCCAAGCCTTGGGGATGTCGGGTGTACCAGCACCCATTCCTCAGCCAGGTGGCGGTGCCCCCAACTCACCCTCCCGCATGCCCTCCTCTGAGATTCTGCCTATTTCCCTGGGGCCCACCCAACCTCAAGGCCATGGTACTCCTGCACCTTCTTCAAATACTTACTGAAGCAGCTGTGTCCCAGGCTGCTCCTTGCCAGCTGTCTGTCTGTCTGTCGGTCTTTGAGGGCTGAGAAGGCTTCAGGAAGCCAGCTTCCTCCCTCCGCCCCTCCTCGCTTCCACCCACGCACACCCCAGCTGCATGCTGCCCTCCTGCGCCTGCTGCAGCTGCCACCAGGGGTCGGGTGCCTCTGTCTGTGTCCCCTAGGGTAGGCTAGGGGTATCCTGGGAATCGGCAAGGGGCTGGGCCTTCCCTGACCACTCCACTCTTCCTGGCTCCCAAACCCTGCTCCTTCCCACCACATTCACTGTTTGGTCCTTATCATGTCCTGCTTCAGCCTACTTCATGGGCAGAGCTCAGCTGTCCCCCAGCTCTGTGTGGCCCCTCTGACAGCCTCAGGTCGCTCCAACTCCACACTACCTTAGCCACTTACTTCTGGTCTCTGCTTCCACCCCAGAGCCCTCTCCTCGGAAGCCCTTGCTGCTTCAAGCCTTGGGAATCTACAGCCAAGCACAGGCCACATCTTCCCAGAGCAGAGGTGGCACAGAGGTAGGGTGGGGGCAGAGCAGGCAGGAATCCTATGTTATACAGGAAGGAAGTGTCCAGGGCCACGCCAGAACCTTCTCTGCAGGCCCTGAGCCTACTGCACCTGTGCTTAGCTCTCTTGCCCTGTGTGGCTCAGCCTCCTTGAGGAGAGTCTGGGCGGTACCAGGGCCCTCTGCCCCTCTGGACCTCTTCTTAGAACCTGACAACTTCTCAGAAGACTTACAGCTGGTTGTCAGGCTTCAGTCTCACCAGGGACTGCCATGTCCTCTTCGCTGCTGGGGCTCCTTGGAGTGGCCTCCAAGTCCAGGACTCCACAGCCCCTGCCCCTTCCTGGCTTTTGAAGGCCTCTTGCTGGCCCACAACCCAGCTGGTTCGTGGTCATGATCTTCGCATGGCTCTTTGCCGTGTAACATTGCAAACGCCCTTCTCTTCCCAGCTCCTGACACACACAATCCTAGCCCTCTCTCTTCCTCCTACTTCTGTGATTCAGCTGTCAAAAGGTGACAGCAAAAAGAAATGAGGTACAATAAATAGGCACAGGGGTGGGGAGGGCATGCAGCAGGGCTGGTGGGGAGGGAGCTGGCCTTCTGCTGGCCCGTGGGGCAGAAGGACTCAGGTGAAGAAGAGGGTGACCCTTGAGGGCTCAAAGTCTCCTAGCACCTGCTCTTGCCCTCAGCACTGGGGAGGAGACTGGCTCTTTCCCGAGCCTCTCCTTGGTTAGCTGATCCTAGATGCCTGCTCCCTGTCATTTGTGCTCCTCAGGCAGAGGGCGGATTTCCCTGAGGAGGAGGCCAAAGAGAGCTGGGGAAGCTTTTGGCTGCAGTGCCAGGATGAGGTGGAAGGAGGAGGAACTTGGGAATCCCTAGCATACTTGTGGGCAGGGACCCAAGGCTGGCCTCTGCCTCAACCTCCCCACACAGGTCAGTGCTTCCCAAGGTAGAAAGTAAGGGCTTTGGGATAAAGAGAAGGCAGAGAGGGATTGGAGGGAGAGCCACCTCTTGGGGCTGCTGTTGATTGTGATCAAGAACAGGAAGCTAGGATACCACAGGGTGGGGGAGGAGGAAGTAGGCAAAGCCCTCCCCCACCGGCTGCCCAGTGTCCCCAGGTTTTCACTGAGATCTGCTGGCCGTAAGCCCACCCCTGTCCCCTTGCAGGCTAAGGTTGGGGGCTGAGCTCTTGGGCAAAGAATGCAGATGCTGGGAGTCAGGAGAATGGGGAAGGTGGTGGCAGTGGGGTCGGGATAATGCTGGGCATTAGGCAAGACCCTGTGGCCTTCCCAACCCCCTCTGGGTGGGTTTGGGTGGAGGACAGTCAGTCTGCGCTCCTGCCCACTCCTTCTCCCCCTTCTGCCTTAAACACCTGAACATCCATGGTGGTGAGGTGGCTAGAGCCTCTACCACAAGCCTCAGAAGAGACAAGACAGATGCCCTCACCTAGCACCAGCCCCTCCCCGCTGGCCTGAGAGCATGGCCTGTTTCTCTCTGTCCTCTCTGGAGCAGGCTGTGTACCATCCTGGTTGCTGGAGGCTCCTGCAGCAGCACCCACTCCACTGTGGAGACTTCCTGTCCCTGGGGTGGCCCTATCCTGGCAGCTGTCAAACTTCTGTCAGATCACTTATTTGTCTTCCTGGGTTGCGACTTAGGTCCAGCTACCTGTGACTCCAGAAAACACACAGCAGTGGGGGAAGCCAGGAAGCACTGTCTGTGCTGAGGAAACTGGCTCAGTAGCTGTGCGACCTTGAGCCTCCCTGAGTCTCCTCAGCAGTTTATTGCCTTCCTGCGAGGTTGACATTAGGGATCATAACGGGGTGGGGAGCAGTCAGGGGAGCTGTCAGAAAAGCAAGGGAAACTGGCTGGGGAGGGCCAGGCAGCCACGCAGGTGGAGGGGCTGGTGTGGCTGAGTGGAGCCCCTCACACCAGATGCCACCTTGGGATTCCAGCCCTGCCGTGGCGAGCTCCAGGAGGGAGTCGCTTCCACAGCCCAGATGGGCATAGTGCACTCCAGAGGGCAGGGATGCTGCCCAAGATCCCAGGTCAGGCAAGAAAGAGGCTGGTGCAGGGCAGGAGCACATGCCTTGGCCCATCTGAGGCTCACACACACACTCACTGCCTAACCCCCAGTCCTCTTCCTTCAGCACTCCAAATTCCAGGGCACTGCGAGCCACAACTCCTTGGCCCAAGTGTCAGAACCTCCTGGCATGTGGGGAGAGCCCTATTCCATGGCAGTGCCTAGAAAGCAGAGAGCTTGGCAGACTGCTGTCAGTCTCCAGAGGCAGAGGTCAGTATCCTGGGGTTCCCAGCAGAGGAAAGAGTTGGCTGCTGGGGCTGGACTCCCGGGTCTCACCCTCCACTCATCCTGCTCTCCTGTGCAGCTGCCCTCCGGGGTTCCTCTCTGCGGAAGCCCTCAGTTCTGAGGTGACTGTTCCTGAGTCCTCTCCCTCCCTGCTAAACCCTGGGGCTTTGTCTGCTCAAACTGCGTGCCCAGGCTTGTCCCTGACAGTGGAGGAGACAGAGATTCAGCTCATGGAGGAGGAGCAGAGACACCAGAGGAGACGCGCAGTGAGCTGGAAGAGAAACTTGTGAGGGCAGGGGAGGGAGGCCCACCGGGCATGTTCCAGGTGCACCCCAGGCTGGTCATCCCAGATGCCACCCCCACGGTGACCCAGTTTCCCTGTGCTACCTTTCCAGTGCCTGCTGGCAAAGGGGACTTTCCCATAAACCTTGCCTCCACCGAAAGGACAGTGATCCAAGCCAGTGCAACATGGGGAGTTAGGGCCAGCCTTGGGGAGCTCTGGGAAGAGCCTGCCGCTAGAACTAGGGACCCTGGAAGTGGGACTACAGGACAGAGAAGAGTCTCTCCTTCCCTCCAAGCCCACGAATAGCAAGACAGACACACGTCCCACAATGTGGCTCCTTCACCCAGAGGGCCTCCTGTATCCCCCTTGCTGTACTCTGTCCATGGATGCCACTCATGCATCTCCGCAGGCAGGTATGCACACCTGCGAGCGTCCCGCGTGCACTCTTGCACACACAGTTTGCACGCACTCAACACCTCGCTGGCCCCTGGATGTCTTCCCGCAGCCTGCTTGGGGGACTTGGGGCTTCCTCTTTCCCTGGTGACCTTCAGAGCGTGGGAGGGAGAGTAGGTGACTTGTCCTCTCCTGCCTGGTGATTATCTTCCTCCAGCATGGGAGATGTTGGAGGCCTGGCTTCGGGCTGTGGGAGAGCAGGAAAGGGGCCGAAGAGCCTCCTGGGACAGCTGCAGGGACAGAGCAGGTTGGTTCACACTGGAGAGTTGGAGCCAGGGTCTGTCACCACCCTCCCTGTCTCCTGGCTAGCTCTCCCCAGAAGGAACCAGTAAGGTGCTCTGAGGCCTTGGGAGGACCCCAGGGGTTCTCTAGGGAGAGGATGTGGGTTTGTCTGTGGGGGTGGCTGCCGGGGAGGAGATACAGACTTGTGGTACATTTTTGCTGAATGGGGAGGCATGGCCTATGTGTAGGGGTGGGAGTAAGTGCTGATTCTTATCAGTCAGAATCTTTCTGTGTTCCCTCCAGAGCCCCGTTTGCGCTCCCCCAAAGCCACTCTGGCTGGGCAAGGAGCCGGCAGGTGGGCTTTCTATACCTCCCCAAGGTTCCGTCTGTCCGTGGAACTTGTCATGGGGTCTGTGCTTGTGCTAACAGGCCTCTTTTTGTGGACACTTTTGGGACCCCCTTTATACCATATCCTGCTTAGATTCTGAATTAGGATGCTCCCACTCTGCATCTCCCCTTTGTGGCTGCCACTGGAGACTCTGCTAGAAAGAAGAGTGTGAGGAGTCCCCAAGTGAGGTGGGGGAAGACCAGGTTGGGCCATGTCCCCAACTCTCCACCATGGGACCTCTTCCCTTCCATATCCACATCCCTATTGTTAGCCTCCATGCTGATTCTTTCACATACAGGCCTGTGTACACACACACACACACACACACACACACACACACACACGTGCTTGTGGCCTGGAAAATCTGATGAGTCCGCAGTGCTGAGTTTCCAGGCCTCCATCCAGGGCTAGTGGATGGCTCTGAGGTTTGGGGCTGCGTGGATGGGGGAGGGCAAGGACCCCTGGCTCTGGCCTGAGTGCCAGGCTGGGCTGTCTCTGATGCAGGCCTGTTCTCCCTGCTGGGATGAGTCTGGGGTTGAAGCTGCCTGGCTGTGCAGAGATGGCACCTGTCTATTTCCTATGCACACTGCCTTCCTGAGCTGCTGAGTCCTGCGGTTCCTTCCCAGGGCCCAGAGTGGAGCGTTTCCTTTGCCCCTCCACTGCCTCACAGCTGCAGATGTGGGAGATGAGTGGCCAGCTCCAGTTGGGGGTAAAGTGAAGTCTGAGGGCCACATCTTCTAGGCCTGGCCTCAGGAAGGTGAAGATGCAGCTAAGCCTCTGAAGCCCAGTGGGGGCTGGGTGCAGGCTGGGCTGGCCCAGGGCACCTAGAGGGAGTGTGTCAGGGAGGCAGGCAAACATCCTAGAGAACCAGCACCCCAAGGGATCCAAGCAGAGGACTGCAGTCTGTGGATCAGGAGCAGTTTGCCTTCTGTGTTCTGTGGAACCAAAAGTCCCAGGTCCCAGTTCAGTGGGACAGAAGAGTTGCAAGCCAGGTGTGCTGTAGAGCCATAGTCGCTATGACTTAGGGTCTGTGGAGGACGTTCTTCCATGCCTCTGTCCACTAGAGCAAGGTGCCGTGTGGAGGCTCAAAGGTTGCATGTTCAGCTGGCCCATCCACACTGAGCTCAAAATACACCCACACGGGGGACTGGACCTCCCATGGAAACACAGACACCCTGTCTTTCATGCAGCCCTGCTTCCTGGCTAGGGAGTGGGGGAGTTGGTGGCTCTGCTCCATGTGTCCATTTGCAAGGCCATTGCGCTTTGTCTCGGCAAGCTTAGAACCTTCTCCTTTCTGGACAGCCTGCTGCTGGAAGTGGAAAGAGAGGAGGAGGTGGGCTGGCTGCAGTCTGGGAGTTACAGTCCCTTCCACCTTCTGGGCCCTGGGCCAGTCTCCGCCTCTCTCCCCTCATTAGGCTGTGCCAAGCCTGGGCGGAGCTGGATTCAGGGCTGGGGTTCAGAAGCAACCCCTGGCTCTTTGCTGCCTACATCTGCTTGAATCGCCGCCCTTCCCACCCTTGTCCATCTGCCTGCCTGTTCGCCCGCCAGCTGGGCAAGGGCAGGCTGGGGAGAAGGCCTCTTCTCCCACTGCTCCCAATTTTTCCTCTGCAGACATCTTCAGGATGAGAGCCCCAGTCCTTTTCGCTGCTGTCCTCTATCTCCAGGGGTTTTTGGCTGAGGTAAGCTGGGAATGGGGGACAGTGCCCGGTAGATGGGCTCCTGCTCCCCAGGGCATGTCCAGGTCTCCTACCTCTTCACAGAGCCCCACAGCTGGTCTGCATTAGGCAAGAAAGGCACCCCTGCCTTCCTACCCAGGCCAGAACAGGCCAGCAAGAGGGCTCCAACTCTCTGGCTGCCTTTCACACCTTGGGCTTGCCTCCAGAGATGCCTCCCCAGGCTGTGTTAGGGGACCCTTCTCTTGATTCTGGCCCCATTCCCAGCTGCCCTTCCCAGAGGCCTGGACCCCAGAGGCCTCTGCCCATTTCCTTCCCTCCTCTCTCCTCCTTCCTGCAGGAAGATGCATGCCTCTCCCTGGAAGGGTGCCCAGACAGGGAGGGTGGAGGTAGGTGTTTTGTGGGGAACGGCTCTGGAGTAAAGAGTGGGGGTGCAGGGCTAATTCTCATGCTGGGTCCTGCTTGGCAACCCCCTTTTGGCCTTCTTTCCTTCTTTAGGACAGAAGGAGGTCTAGGAGACTCTGAGTGCACCTCTTCCCCCTAGGTGCCCCCCTAAGCATGAATGTCAGCAGCCAGGGAAAGCCCACCAGCCTCCTACTGAGCTGGGGAGCAGCACAGTCAGCTGGGCTTGGCCGTGCCCTCCGCCTCACATGTCTGAGCCCACTTGGCTCCCTGGAAGGGCAGCAGCTCCGGGCCTGTACCAATGATTCCAGCTTTGAGTTCCAGGGTCTGGTTCCAGGGAGTCACTACCAGCTACAAGTGACCACCTGTGATCCTGTAGGCAGAATGTCACTGTTACCCTCAGGGCCCGCAGTGGTACAAAGCCTGAGGACAGGGAGAGGGGCCAAGCCTAGGGCTGAGGCAGGAGGTGGCCAGGGTCAGGGCAACTAAAGGGAGCTGCTTTCAGAGAAGCAGGTTGGTAAAGAGCCCATGGGGATGGGGTGAGGTCCTGCCTCGCTGACCTTGGTGCATCTCTGTCCCTTGGTGCAGCCCCATCCATTGTCCATGGACTCCAGCTCCACAGCTCCGGGAGCCCCACCAGCCTGGAGGCCTCATGGAGTAATGGCCCTGGGAAGCAGGACAGCTACCAACTATTGCTCTATCACCAAGAATCCCAAACACTGGCATATAACATCTCCGTGTCCCCAGACATCCTGTCCTATAATTTTGGCAACCTCTTACCAGGTAGCAAGTATGTTTTAGAGGTTACCACCTGGGCTGGCCATCTCCAGGCCAAGACCAGCACTCACCAGTGGACAGGTAAGTTGGGCACCTGGCAGGGCCTGAGTGTCAACCTATCTGGGAGTGGCGAGAGAAATGATGAGCTCAGAACCTTGTAGGCATCTGGGTTCCCATGTGGCTAGGCTCCTGGGATCCCTAGGGCCAGAATGAAGGCCAGCATCTGGCTCCAGGGACCTTCCTCAAGCTTGGCTTTGCTGTGTCATCCTCCCTCCAGACCCTGTGCCTCCTGATCACCTGGTGCTGCGTGCTTTGAGCACCAGCATCCTGCAGGCCTCCTGGAACAGCTCTGAAGGGGCTGCCTGGCTCCATCTGGGGCTCACAGACCTCCTAGGTGGTGTTAACCTGACTGTAGTCGTCAGACGAGGAGTCTCAAACCATACCTTCCTCCACCTGTCTCCAGGGACCCGCTATGAGCTGACACTTTGTGCTGCTGCTGGGCCCCATAAGGCCATGGGGCCCAGTGCTACGGAGTGGACCCGTAAGTGGGCAGGAAGGGGACACAGCAGAGACTTCTCAGCTCTTCCACTCTGGCAAGGAGCCCAGATTCAGCTGGTGGGGGTGTGGGCATCTTCCTGAGGCTTGGAGAGTGTGCCCTCCGGTAGCCTGCTGGCTACCTGAGAGGATGATCCCGGCAGCAATAGTTACCATCAGTGCAGCCTCTCTCTAGAGTGGGCTGTGTTCATGGCATTTCCGAGTATGGTTTTATTTACTCCTCAAGAGAGCCCCAGGTTGTGTTACCCCGTGTTACAGTAGAGGGAACTGAGGTGCATAGGGAAAAAAACCCCAGGTTACACTGTGCACAAGTGGCCAGGATGATCTGGACCTGGGATGGACACTTGTGGAGTCCACAGTGCCACCATACTTCCCACGCTGAGAATTACTTGACAACGAAGAGGCGAAGAACCAAGCTGCCTGGGCTCTAGGTTTCTTTTCTGCCACCTGCTGGCTGTGGGTCTCCGGACAAGCTACATACACCCTCTGGGCATTAGTTTCTGTATCTTTTTTTTTTTTTTTTTTTTTTTTTTGTCTTTTCTGTTTTTATTGGTACCAGGGATTGAACTCAGGACTGCCTGCTTGCAACGCAGGCGCTTATGCCTCTGAGCTAAATCCCCAGCCCCAGTTTCTGTATCTTTAAAGGCTGGTGTCCAAGTCCTCAGGCTGTGAGAATTAAGTGTGAGATTCTGCACACAGAGCCCTCAGAGCCGCGCAGGTGGCACAAATATGCTCTTGTTTTCATCATTGTTGCCTATGGCCACATGGCAGCTACCAGATCTTGGTAGCATCCAGCATGTGGCAAACAGATTTCTGAAAATTAGTCATGAAACCAGTTTTCAGACTGACACCTTGACGGGGGGACATGGCTTGGTGGGTGTAGAAAGCAGCTGTTGCAAGAGCAATGGCTCTGACCTTACTCTTGGTCCCTCCGTATTCTCCCTTGGCGCTTAGGTCCTTAAGGAGCATTTGCCCCTCTTTCCACAGATCCCTCTGCCCCAAGGGACCTGGTGCTGACTTCCACGCCCCCTGGGCTCTGGGCAAGCTGGAAGGCAGGGCCAGGAGCCCGAGATGGCTATGTGCTAAGATTAAGTGGGCCAGTAGAAAAGAGTGTTGCTCTAGGCCCTGAGGCCTGCAATGCCACATGGCCAGGGCCCCTGCCCACTGGACACTATGGCCTGGAGCTGGAGGTTCTGGCTGGGCCCTATGATGCCTTCGTCCAGGCCAGTGCCTGGCTGGATGGTGAGTCTGGGCTGGGAGGATCAGGCTGAGGAAGGGCCACCAGCACCAGGAGGCAAGTGAGTCCTCATTCTCTGGGGCTGCTTCCCCTCCAGATTCTGCAGCCAAAACTCCGCAGGGCCATGGTGCCAAGCTGCGGCTGGATGGTCTGGAGGCCAGCAGGGAGCCCGAAAGGCGGGCACTGCTCTATGCTGATGGTGATTTGGGCCTCCTGGGAAACATCTCCGTGCCCTCTAGCACCAACCACATCACCTTCTGTGGGCTGGTGCCTGGGGCCCGCTACCGTGTGGACATTGTTTCATCTCTGGGTGTCATTATCCAGAGCCTCACAGGCCACACAAGTGAGTATCAGCTATAATGTCCACTGGGCTTGAGCTGGAAAGCCTTGGCTTGTGAGCACAATCATTGTACAGGAGCGGCTTGTGAGAGCCAGGCAGAGGGCATCACTGACAGGGCCACTGACACAATATGGGTCCCTCACCAAACTCCCCTCTCTTCAGGTCCCTTGGCACCACAGTTACTGGAGGTCACCAGCAGGGCCAGCCTGTCTGATCTGACTATTGGCTGGGCTCCAGCACCAGGACAACGGGAAGGCTACACAGTCACTTGGCACCAGGAAGGCAACCAGAGGGCCTTGGGCGGCCGTGTTGACTTGGGCCCAGACAATGGCAGCGTGACTCTGAGGGGTCTGGTGCCTGGCTTCTGCTACACGGTGTCAGTGCAGGCCTGGGCAGGGAGCCTCAACTCCAGCCCCCAGAGGACCCGTGCCTGCACCTGTGAGTTCCTAGCTCAGCCAGCCTAGGGCAGTGGTGGAGACCAGCCTTTTCTACTTTCTGCCCCTCTGTGTACCATACTCTAAGGACCATGAGTTCAAGGGTCCTTTTATGATTCTCCTTATAGGCCTTCTCTACCTCCTACCGGGTGGTTGGTTAGCCATGCACTCACCCACCTGTGTGTGTATGTGTGTCCTCTCTCCCTCTCCACTTCCTTCCCCCGCCTTTTTTTCTCTAGTTCATCTGCTGACACTCAGCTCTGCCAAGGCATCTGTCTATCTGTCTGTCTGTGTTTCTGAGCTATGGGTCTTCTTCTTTTCCTTCCTTTCAGCAAATATTTAATTAATACCTGACATTTTTTAGGTATCAGGTCAGGCAACAGAAGACTGACGTAGGGTTTATAGCGGCAATGCATATGAATCTTGTATATCATGTTACAGTAAGTGTAAGGGCAGTGCTGGAATGTGCATGATACATTAGCTTGAATCAGATGAAACTACATTCAAATTGGTTGGAATGGCTGGATATCAGGGATCCTATGTGGTTCAGTCTGATGTTTTCAGACAGAAGGGTCACCTGTGTAGGGTCAAAACTAGGTTCCCTGAGTAGGCAGAGAGCTGAGTGAGAAGCCTGTGGGCCAGGGGAGACAGGCTTTAGTAGGAGCTAAGTATGCACCAAGACCCATAGCTCAGAGACAGAGACACAGACAGATAGACAGATGCCTTGGCAGAGCTGAGTGTCAGCAGATGACCTGGAGAGCAGGGCTGTGCTGGATGTGAGCAGAGCTCACAGAAGTGCAGTGAACCAGGCACAGCGCCCTCGTCATGCCATGGGGTCAGGGTACGGACAGGGGACAGGCTTCCCTGGGAGGGAGAAGAAAGTGGGCGTTGAGCCTTGTGGAAGTTGGGGTTTTAGAGTAGGAGGCTCTGGGTCTTGTCTGGGAAGGAAGAGGTGGGGGATTCAGGCTGTTCTAAGTCTGTCTCTCTCTCCCTCCTAGCCCCTGCTCCGCCCGCCAACTTGAGCCTGGGCTTTGCTGTCCAGCCCCCCGTGCTGAGGGCCTCCTGGAGTTTCCCACCAGGTGGCAGGGATGGTTTCCGGCTGAGGCTATACAGCCTGAAGCCCCTGGCTCTGGACAGTGAGGAGACGTTGGGTCCCGAGATCCAGAACTTCTCCTGGGCCCAGCTGCCCAGGGGCTCTGAGATCCTGGTGCGGCTGGCTACTCTACGGGGATTGGAGGAGAGTGGCAGTGCCAACGCCACAGGCTGGACCCGTGAGTGTCCTCTGCATGGGTCTCCCTTGCCCTTGCCCTTTATCATGACCCTCACCCTGGGCCTTCCTTCTTCCAACGGGGCCACCAACGGTGGACAGAGCTGCAGAAAGCTGGGGCGAGCAGGGCTCTCCCTCCCCAAGCCTCAGTGTCCCTGTCTAGAAAGAAGACTGTGGTTGAGGGGACACCAGGACAGTGGGACTCAGTCTTGGGCTCAGGGTCTGAGCAGGGCAGGACCCCACATCTGCCTGTTGGGCCATGTGAAGTGCTTTAACAGCTCGTTGACTGCAGAGGCTGGGAAAAGGTCCATGGCTCGACTTTCCTGCTGCCTAGCCCAGCTCTGACCATGAGAGTGTTGGTGGCACAAGGACAGTGCAGGACTAATTTATCTACTCACCCCTATTGGAGCATGGCCCTGCTCCCTGGGACAACTAGGGAGCCCACTTCTAGGTGGTGGGCTTAGTCCTGGGTGTTTCTGATGACTAGGGATGGAGGGAGCAGAGGGAGACCACTGGGGCTCAGCGAGTCGGACGTTTCCTTCAGATTCTGTTCTGTCTTTTTGTCTGTCCCCCATTCCTTGCTCTCCTTGCAGCCCCCCTCGCTCCTTTGCTGGTGAATGTGACCAGCAAAGGCCCCACTCAGCTCTGGGCATCTTGGATTCATGCTCCCGGGGGCCGGGACAGCTACCAAGTAACCCTGTACCAGGCAGGGGCCCAGGTGGCTGTGGACACTGTGGGAGCAGAGGTGAACAGCACAAGATTTTCTGCGCTGACTGCGGGCACACAGTACGAGGTGGAGGTTGGCACGTGGGCCGGGCCCCTTTGCACCGCAGCAGCCAATGTTTCTGGCTGGACCTGTGAGTAGGGTGTGGGAAGAAGGTAGTAACTGGGAAGAGGTGGGGAGGGCTGCCCTGGAGACCCCTGGTGCCCCCCTCAGTGGCAAGTTACCCTGCTACCACCCCATTTCCTGGCTTCGCTCCGAGGATCCTTTATGGGCCAGTGAGCCCCTGGTACCATGTGAGCTCCCACAGCCTGGTGATTTTCTGCTCTTCCCTCCACAGCCCCCCACGTGCCCCACGAAGTGCTGGTATCCATGCAAGCGAGCAGTGCTGTGGTTAGCCTGGCCTGGGCCAGTGGTCCCCTTGGGCAGGGTGTATGCCATGCCCGGCTCTCAGAGTCCGGGCACCTGTCCAGGGAGCAACCCTTGGTGCCAGGCCAAACCCGCCTTGTGCTGAGGGAGCTCCCACCGGGCCACAGTCTCTCCCTGTTGGTGCTATGTGAGGCGGGGCCGCTCCAGGTCTCTACCCACTCCGTGGTGTTGCCTGTTGGTACGTTGTCATCCTTAGTGGGGCACGGAGGGCCCCTTTCCAGGCTGGCAACAGTGCTATTCTGCTCTGAGCCACCTGCTACTTCTGGGTAGATTTGTGTCCTCTAGCTCCTCCAGAAAAGCAGCAACACTTCAGAGAGAAGTTGTTTCTCTAATATGACTGATACTCCTGAGCATAGATGCTCAGTCCCTTTGTATTCACCAAATTCGAGAGCCCCTGACCCAAATGCTACCCTTTGGGGGTACACTGACACCCCCAGCAATGCCTTTGGTGCCACAGAGCCTGGCCCTGTGGAGGATGTACAGTGCCAACCTGATGCCACCCACCTGGCTTTGAACTGGACGAAGCCTGCGGGAGATGTGGGTGCCTGCCTGGTCATGGTGGAGCAGTTGACCACAGGAGGAAATGCGTACCTCGTGTTCCAGGCCAACACCTCTGAGGACGCTCTCGTGCTGTCCAGCCTGGCGCCTGCCACTTCCTACCGCCTCAGCCTCACTGTGCTGGGCAGGAATGGTCTGTGGAGCCGGACAGTCACGCTGGTGTGCACTACTTCTGCAGAGGGTGGGTGTTTCTCTGTGCCTCAGGGACCACCTCTGCTCTCTCAGACTCCCTCCATTACCACCCCTAGGGGCTGTCACTCGCTGGTCCTGGCTTCCTGGGGCCTCCACCTGCCTGAGTCCTGCCCTGCCCTCCAGTGCTCATCATGCTAGTTTGATACCTTACTCTCAGGATTTGCACATTGGTGATCTGGCCTGGACATCTTCTTGTCCTCATTCAATTGTGTCCCTTAGCCATTTGTGGCCAGGTACTGTAAGAGGTGCTGAGCACAGGAAGGCATGATCCCCATCCTTGAAGACTGATGGTTAGGCACCTTGTCAGGGCCTCAGGTTCCTCTTCTCTGTCTCCAGCTTGGCACCCCCTAGAGTTAGCTGCAGCTCCTCAGCTGGAGGAGCCTGGGATGGGCATGGGCGTGGTGCTCACACCGGACATGTTTGGCAAGGATGATGGACAGATCCAGTGGTACGGTGTCATTGCCACCACCAACATGGCGTGTGAGTCCTGGGCCCAGGAGGGGCTGGGAGGTGAGGGTGTTGCCCAACCTGGGCTGGTGAGATGCATTCTTCTCTGAAGCTGGTGACAGTCTGGGAGCAGGAAGGGGTCCCCAGGATGCTGTCAAGGACAACAGTGGTGTTGGGTTAAGAGTGGAGGGAACACGCTGGAGAAATGCGGTAGCTTCCTTGAGGCAGAGCGCAGGATCTCAAGCCTAGCGCCTACCTTGCTCTGTGCTTTCCCCACTCCTCTCCCAGTGGCTCGGCCTTCACAGGAAATCATCAACCACACGTGGTATGACCATTACTACAGAGGATACGACTCCTACCTGGCTGTCCTGCTTCCCAACCCCTTCTACCCAGGGCCCTGGATGGTGCCAAGTTCCTGGACTGTGCCTGTGGGCACAGAGGACTGTGGTCACATGCAGGAGATATGTAATGGGCAGCTCAAACCAGGCTCCCAGTATAGGTGAGGGCTCAGGCTGAAGGGAGGAGGAGCTATTCTAAGTATCATTTAGGGGATGTTTATCTATTCTTTCAACAACAATCTGGCCCGAGTCACAAAAAGAATGCACGTGCTAATCCATAAGGGCCAACAGAATTATTTTGACTGGGTTTCTTGGCATGCAAGGCAAAAAGAGGAACAGAACGAGGGATGAGTTCTGTCTGGGGTTGCCAGGGCAGGGCAAAGGCTATCGAGGTGCCTCTTTCCTGAGTCCCTTCCTGCTCTCAGAACAGGGCAGGAAGGTAGAAGAGAAGCTGGAGGTGGTCTTCTCACCAGCGCCCACACACAGGGAGAAGGGGAAGGAAGTGCTCACTCTTTGAGCACCTGCTGCTCATGGCCCTGCTTCCTTGCATGTGTGTCCTTCCCCAACACAAGGTCCTGCTTCTCTGTGCCAGGTTCAGTGTTGCTGCCTTTACCAGGCCCACCTCCCCTGAGACCATCGTCTCCTTCTCAGCCTTCTCAGGTAGGGTGGGTACCTCGTGGGTGTCGGGGTGTGCAGGACCCCGGAGATGGGGAAAGTCCGCAGCAGCCCCTGTTCTGAGCCTCAGATGCAGTCAGCAGCCGAGGCACTGAATGGGCTCAGGGAGATCACATGCTACCTGCTCAGCCACACTTGGCCCAGTGGGCGGTGAAGATGCACTGGGCACCAGACTTGGCCTGGATGAGCTGAGATGGGGCAGCAGGAAAGACAGAGCATTGAGGAGATCACTGCTATCCGCAGCCATGTCCTCTTGCACTGTCCTTTGCAGCCATCTGCTTCCCTGGTTACTGAGTTTCTGGAACTGTACTGGCTTATAGGAACATCCGGCACCCCCCCCCCAATGCAAAGTGAACCCCAGTGTAATCTGGAACCTTCCAGTAGCTGATTAGAAACATAAAATGATAGCTGGGGGTGCTATTCAGGGTAGAGGGCTTATTTGGGTTCTATCCTCAGTAGCACAGAACAAAAGAAAACCAACAAATGAAACAAAGAGCAGGGCATGGTGCCACATGCCTGTAGTTCCAGGACTCAGGAGGCTGAGGTGGGAGGATCACCTTGAGGTTCAGGCCAGCCTGAACCACCTACTGAGACCCTGTCACTGCGGAGGATGCCGTGGCTCCAGGCAG